AACATGAGGTCAAAGGGGGTCCAGATACTGAATGAATGGAACATGAGGTCAAAGGGACTCAGATACTAAATCCGCCACAGTGATATCAGTGTTGTTGTTGCTTAAGTTGTCAAAAAATGTCCACGTATTTTGACTTTAGTCGAATGCCTTGAAGAACGCATCCGGTTCTTCGCCCTCTTTGACACAGGTGATACCTGCCAGAGGGTTTTCACTCTTCATCAAGTATTTCTGTGTAATCAAACAGAAACAAAAACTATGTTTTAAAGGCTGTGTAAAGAGTACACAGAATAGCCCACCTCCGAGATATGCTTTGCTTGTCACGCACAAAGGTTTCAATATGAGGCTACGTGCTAAATTCAATTTATTCTTACCGCCTGTCACGAGTGACTGAGCAATTAGCACGTAGCCTCGTACTGAAACCTTTGTGCGTGACAAGCAAAGCATATCTCGGAAGCGGGCTATTGAGCAGTGCTCAGTATAATGGGCTTGGAAGTATTTCATGAATGTACTCGTTTTATTCAAGTCCTCTCCTCTCCTCTCCTCTCAAGACAATCACTAGTTATGAAACAGTCGAAATATAAAATTTTAAAGTCCATCTACCCATAACCTTGTCGGTCTCTTTGTAGCATTTTAGGTGACTAACTTAAGAATAGTTTTTGTAATGCACGTAAATGGTACGAAATGCCGTAACATCGAAATGGCATCCCATTTTCTTCCGATCCAGTGATTCACCCCATCGCGACGCTTAGTTACACTACAATACGCCTGCATATTTGCGGTATCTTTTCCCACTCATAAAAAATACACTCTACAGACCTAATCGGCTAACGTGTTGCTATGTACGTTACCACCCAATTCAAACCTTCTGGGACTAAGTTTCATTGTTCGTTATATTTTGGTTTCACAGTTGAATTCGTAGAGACAAACGCTTCTATTCCCAGAAGGTTTGAATTGGGTGGTAACAAGAGAAAATGAACTAAGAGAAGGAATCCCCTTGCCCCATCATGTGCATACTTTGATGCTATTTTTAGAATCATTGATGCTATTTTTAACTCGTTACCATGCCTGCGCGATAATCATGCTTCCCTTTAATGCCTCGTTTTAGGACACGAAAAGCGCCATATTTCGCTACGTCCACGACAAAAACACAGGCTTTTGTTTACTGCAAGACTGGAAGCCGCCTACCCTCAAGAAATCAACCAATCAGGTTCTTCGCTCAAAATATCTTCAAGCTAAAAATAGCATCAAACTGTGCACATGATGGTTACAAGGCTATATAGGTAGGATTCCTTCTCTTAGTTCATATTCTCTTGGTGGTAACGTACATAGCAACACGTTAGCCGATTAGGTCTATTAGCCCGCATTCTGAATATCAGGCAAAACTGAGTCAATCGAGTTAGCATTGCAGTGCATTAATTTCGGGGCTGTTTTAAGGGACGACATAAAATAGCGCAGTCTTGGAAACATTTTTGTGGCATGTCTGTAAAGTAGCTCGTTTTAGCTAAGCACCTTGACCACGTTAGATAAAGGTTGCTATTATTATTTCTTATTTTATTATTAGGTCCATTCAAACAGCCCCACAATACACTGCAATGCCAACACGACACAGTTTCTTTCTCAACCTGGCTAACTTCTCTTCTTGGTTGAAAAAATACTTGCTAACTTTGTAAACAAACACACACGTCTCCATAAAACAATCCCAGAAACCCTTGCGAGGAAATACTCGAGCCATTCTCCGACTTTTTTTTTCTTTTTTTTTTTTTTTTTTTTTTTTTTTTTTGAGAAGGCCCATTTAAAATATATAACGCTCTACCACATTTATTATATTTATATACTCACGTGGGCATATTCCATGCTTTTCCTTCTTTCGTCGATGCTCGCTTTGGCTCCACACCAGGCAAAGCAACGTCCTTCGGTCTCGAGGATAAATACTGGGGGAAAAGTGAGTGTCAATATATTAACTGGAAGGTGATGGTAAAATATAGCTAAACATCAATTATATCAATACCCTGATGAAACAACCTCTGGGCTGAACTAAGTCAGGGCATGGCTAACTCACAGAACGAACCCTGAAACACGCAACGTTGCATGCAACAAATCTGAAGTTGAATAGCCTGCGTCACATCCGGAGGCTAAAGTTGAATCGCGCTCTACTCTTGCAACATTGCGCGCAACAAATTTAACCATGTGAACATGGCTGCAACATTACCTGCAACATTCTGAAATTTCCAGCCAATCAGCTTGCACCAAATTCATAACTGCTGACCAAGTATCTTAAATATCTTGTGCTGAAACAAGCGATGTTGCGTGAATTTGTTGCAATGTGTGTCAGCAGCCCGATTCAAATTTGTTGCTACAATGTTGCACCGTGTGTTAAAACCTTTAGCATCCAAAACACTTACCATCCTTGGTGTTCAGTTGGCTTTGACTGACATCATCCCCTGATGCAATTTTTGTGAATTCAAGCCTTCCAGAGGCATCAGATAACCTGCACGAAGATATGATTAAATATTATGTCATCTGTAATATATATTTTACGTCACACACATATTCTCTGTTGCATTGTTGTTTCCTCGAAATCTTCCTTTTATCCAGATGGGTTTCACTTGACGTCATTTCTGTGCCGTGCGGTATGTTCCGCTAAAAAACAAGTTTGCAATAGAATAGGACGTTTGCATGATGGCGTCATTGACCTCTACTACCAGAATCTCTTGCACGCTTTCTTTTGTTCAGTTAAATAGCACCAATTGTCTTACTATTCTCATGAGGGAATACAAATTTAAATAGGAAAGAAAATTCGCGAAGCATCTTGGTAGTGGGAGTCAAATGACGCCATCATGTAAACGCCCTATTGTTTTTGGTTTACAGTGGTGGTCAGTGTTTGACCATTGAAATCCAACAATAGACCCCTTGCATGTGACGAGAAAGCAGCTTTATTGGGAGGACAAAACAAAAGAATTTCAATCTCATGAGAATTGGAAACCTATTGTTATGTCTTCCAAGTAAAGCTGCATTCCGACGTGCTACAAGAGGTAACATAACAAGGTTTCCAATTCTTAAGAGATTGAAATTCTAATGTTTTTTCCTTCAAATTGAGCTGTTCTAATGTCACATGCAAGAAACTTTGTATTTAGAATCCATAACATTTGTGCCATATTCACATATTTTATATTCATGGTTTATACCTGAATAAGGCTTTCTCAACTGGTGGTCTTGGTTCCTAATGATAGCAATGAAAGTAAAAATAACTACAAGATAGAAACTAGGGGAAAACGTCTGCGCACGTTCTACATGATGCTATTTCGAAGTTAGTGAAGGCTTTGCATGTTGCATGCTGCATTTTGTTTACTAAGCTAAAAATTCATTATATTCATATCATATCATATCATATTATATTCATATCAGACTCGTATCCAGTCGTCACTAACGCTTTTTTATTGCGCGCGATAGCTTTTGGGAAGGAGAGAGAAAAATGCTTCGCTTTTATCTTCCTTCCTTCCCTTGATGCACCGCGAGATCAATAAGACAAGAGAAGCGACTGGGTACGAGTCTGTATTCATGTATAAATAACGTCAGCAAATAAGCGGGAAAATTAAGTATAGACGACTGGTAAAATTTCATATCGTTGCCGTGACCTTTCACTGATTGGATCTACATCGCCCAAAGTGCATTTCAGGCTTAAAATTAAATATGTAACGAAACTTTCATCAACTTTTTTTCTTTCTGTATTCCAAAACGTCTTCGTATGCAAATTTGTATTTCAAGCTTGCCCCAAAAATGGGCTTTGCAATTATACCAAATTAAAACAAGTTCTTGAAACTTAGGTATCTTGCTCTCACAAAAGCTAGTATACTCAATTGATTGTAGATTTGGAGATTTTTTGGCACTCATACTCTATACTGATCATTTTTGACAAAAATGTTAAAACGAGCGCATGCGCATTGGTCATTCGATCGCTGTGTTGACATGGTGCGATGTTTAACCAATAAAGTAATTGGTTGTTACCTTTTGTTTCTTTGGGTTTTCATCTTTAATGATTTCTGCTAGTTTTGGGTTGAATTCTTCGACTGTTTGGTCGTCTGAGAATCAAAGAATATAAAATAATTTAACTAATGTGTCCTTTTGTCCAAGACATCATCATGGGATGCAGAAGTCGCAATTATCTTAAAACGTATATAGAGGCTTTGCACCATCACGTGATGGCAGCCATGACAGGAGGCAGGAACAATTGAATCTGGTGTAATCTGATTTACACGAGAAAAAATTCAGTTTCCCAGGGGAGAACGACTCTATTGTTGTGCCTCTTGTCATGGCTGCTATCACGTGATGGTGCAAAGCCTCTATAGACTACACAGCTGTCAGGGTGTCCTTTTATATAATTTTACGCTTTTCAATGAGCAGCGCATCTAAAAGGCAATTGAATTTGGTAGTAGTTAAGTGTGAAACAATGACACTCTATGCTTTATACATTTTTTACGTTTGCCCCTCGGCATCTGCATAATTCAAGATGGCCGCCGCATCAGTAAAAAGGTCAATTCCCGGCTCCATAAATGAATTCCGAACAAAGTTAGAACTACGAACTAGAATACACAGTTAACCCAATGCATGACATTATATGTCGCGTTGTATTTAATGTGTGTTATTCAGTACTGACTTTTTATATATGTCGATGCTAACTCACCGAGAACGAAGACCGTTGGTTTACCGTGTCGCTCGGACTATTAGAAAAGAAAAGTGATAGATTTAATAGAAGCAAGGAAGCAAGGAAGCAAGGAAGCAAGGAAGCAAGGAAGCAAGGAAGCAAG